CAGTCCACCTTGCCCAGCACGATATCTTTCTCCAAGGACTACCACCTCCTAACCATATATCCAAAATGTGCAAAAACGAAAGAATGAAAACCTAATTTCTCTGTAAACATTCCTTAACAACTCAATTAACAAAAAAAGCCCTAAAATGTGAAACAAAGTTTCACTACCTTTGCCTTTAAGACCTGATTGCACCTCCCCCTTCTTTGCTTTTTTGAAATCATGTGATATTCAGTACTCCTTTCAACACCACATTTCAAAGGTATCAATTCTTCTGTTATCTATATCCATTTGTCCAACTTCCAGATGCACAGGAAACAATTGAAACTATTATAGTTTGAAGTAGGCACACCTTATTATTAAAACTGACGTCTTTGCTTTTTAATACTTTGGAGTGGTCCATGACAGCAGGTTCCCCCAATATGACATGTCTTTTGACTTACCGACTGCTGTTTACATAGATGTTTGCTATGGATCAAAATAAAATTGTTGACATCTTCAATCTTTTCTCTGTCATGATGTTGCCTATTGGTCCAGTGGTCAGGATTTTTTCCCCATGATCTTGAAGTGTAATCAATTAATGTCTATAATATTAATTTAAACTATTTAATTTTATATTTTTAACTTGTAGTCTTCTTAGAGTCTTTTTACATCCTATATTCTGATTTTTAATTAAATTGTGTAGCTTTATTCTTATATAATTTATTCATATAAAGAAATGAAGGTCGAAGAGATTGAGATTGTTAACAGCTTCAGTTTCCTTGGCTCCACAACCAACATTCTTGGTACAGGCAACCAGGAAATTAAAAGATGAATTGCACTGGGAAGGTCTGCTGTAAGGGACCTCTTCAGAGTACTGAAGAGCAATGATGTCAGTCAGACTAATGTGTGCCTGATCCAGGTCATAGTCTTCATAATTACTTGCTATGTGTCAGATTGCTGAACAATGACTAGGGATGATAAGAAGGAGAATTGATGTCTTTGAGCTGTATTGCTAGAGAAGAGTATTGAATATACCGGACTCTTAGAAGAAAGAACATGTTCATACTAGAGAGGGTTAACCAGACTACTTCTTGGAGGCAAGGATTCTGAGCTTCATCGGATATACTTTGGGCATGTTATAAGAAGGGACCAGACCTTGGAGAGGGGCATTATACTTGGGAGGGTGGAGAGACAGTACAAAGAGGAAAACCCTCAATGAGATGGATTGAGTCAGTGACTGGGATAATATGGGGTAGGTGTGTCAGAGACAATAAGCTTGGCTCAGGATAGAGCAGGGTTCATAGCTGTTGTACATAAGGGTTGCTGTAAGTCACAAGCAACCCAGTGGCACATAACAACAACAACAACAACATCATCATTAAGATTGACTTTATTTTGAAGAGTAGCTCTGATGGTGTAGTCTGTAGCATGTTGCACTGCTAACAATAGTAAACGTGATGATGATGATGATGATGATAAAAGAAAACCTGATATCACCAGTGGTTCAAATCATCCAGTGGCTCCTTAGGGGAAAGATGAGCAATCTCCTCCCATTAGGACTTTGGAAACTCAGTGGATTGTTACTATAAATGAAAACTGACTTGAGGGCAGTGAGATGAGTTGACTTACTTTGAAGAAGCAGTTTTCCTGACTTACATTTTTATTGTTTTCCAATCTTCGTAGCTCATATTCCAATGCTGTATCAGACAATACTCAATTGCTTTTCATAGCATTTTCTGTGACTATATTTAAAAGGAAACAATTTTTGGTTGTTGTTGTTGTTAAGTGCTGTTGAGTCATAGACAACTCGTAGTAACCTTATGAACAAAAGACCAACTTTCATTTCTCCAAGTTCATAGGGTTTTCAGAGGGAAGCTATTTCAGAAGTGGATGTCACTCCTGCTTCCAAGCTTGTTTTAATCAGGAAGCTCCACCAAACACTGTTCACCATGTGTAACCATTATCACATTTGACACATCAGTGTCACAGTGTTTAGCATCAGAGAAACCACGAGTACACCTCTGTACAGCAAATGGACAGACCAGTGCTAAACCACTTAGAAAAATGTTTGAACAAAAACAATTAAAACCAGGCCTGAGGGCTGCAGATTAAAATCACCCACCTTTGGCTTGGTAGCATCACTTTCTGTCCACTAGGCCAACTGAGCTCTCTCTATGATGTTGTTGTTGTTGTTAAGTGCCACGGAGTCATAGATAACTCATAGCAACCCTATGAAAAAAAGACCTGAACACGTGTATACTTTTCAATGTTTCTCCAAGTTCCTAGGGCAGTTATTTAAATTTACTGTATGTTAAACACATCTTTTAATTTCCTGGCTACTGTGCCAAAAGTGTTGACTGTGGAGCCAAGCAAACTAAAGTTGTGAGCAATATCAATCTCTTCACCATCCATCCTGATGCTGCCAATTGGTCCAGTGGTGAGAATCTTTGTCTTCTTGACATTGAGCCTCAAGCCATATTGGAGGCTGCAGTCCTTGACCCTCTGAAGCAAGGACTTTCCTTCTCAATTTCAGCAAGCAGGGTTGTGTCATCTGCATAATGCAGATTGTTGATGGATCTTCCAGTAATCTTGAACCCATATTTCTTCTCATAGAGCTCAGCATCCTGGATAATCTGTTCTGCATACACGTTGAAAAGGAGACAGGACACTTCCCTGGTGTACGCCCTTCTCAATTTTCAGCCATGCAGTGTTTTCTTGCTCTGTTCTGATGACTGCCTCTTGGTCCAAGTATAGGTTTCTCATTGGCATGATCAAGTGTTTTGGGATTCCCATTCTTCTTAGAGTCAGCCACAGTTTGTTATGATCCACACAGTCAAACACCTTTATATAGTCAATAAAACCCAGATATACATTAAAAGACAAATACCATGGGAGAGTCTGCTGTTAGGGACCTCTCCAAAGTACTGAAGAGCAATGGTGTCTTCTGGAGACTAAGCTGGGTCTGATACAGGCCATAGTCTTAGCTGTCACTTGTTATGCATCAGAGAGTTGGACAATGACTAAGGAGGATAGAAGGAGAATTGATGTCTTTGAGCTGTGGTGCTGGAGAAGAGTATTCAGGGTACTATGGACTGCTAGGAAAAAAAATAGATTCACCCTGGAAAGGGTTAAACTGGGTGACTCCTTGGAGGCAAGGATTCTGAGGCTCCGTCTAAGATACTTTGTACATGTTGTAGGAAGGGATCAGTCCTTGGAGAGGGACATCATGCTTGGGAGGGTGGAGGGACAGCACAGGAGGGGAAGGCCCTCTATGAGGTGGATTGATTCAGTGAC